TAATAGATTTTTTTATTCTGAAATTGAAAAACTTCAGGCCAGGCAGAAAAAGCTTCAACTAGTATTAGACATAAACCTACTCCATTAACTTGTGTGTGAACCATATGAACTTAGACCATGGTTCTGTTTCCTTAGGCCAAGAGTGTAACTTATTGTGGTGAAAATTCTTTATTTCTGCACAGTTAGGACATTTGCGTATATAATTCTCCACATCTCTGGTGTATCCCAGCTACCATGCTTCCAGTTTTAATCGTTTTTGTGTAGCAGTTATCCCACAATGCACATCATCATGTGCACTTTTAATTAATTCTTTTCTATATTTTTTTGGTGGTACAACTAAATCCCCATTACAAATTAAACCATTTTCTATTGATAGTTTGTGTCTGGTTTCTTTGTATGCTCTTTCGGCTTTTGAACAATTACTCTAGTTATTGTTCCTTATTCTAGATAAAACTGGATCTTGTAACATCTCCATAACTAGTCTATTAATGGGCAACACAACCATTTCCACCTAATGCAAAAATTCATCCTCAACTTTTTTTTATTTATTTTTCATTTGGTTCCTTTTCAAATTGTAGTCAGGACAATACGTCTATGTGTGGTATTGCTTTTCCCTTCATGTATTCTATATCATAATCAAAAGCTGTTAACTCCATAGCCCATATTCTGGATTATGTAAATTTTGGCAATTCCTTCCTAAGATGGAATATAAATTCTAAGGGCTTATGATCAGATTCAACAAAAAAATTTTTTTTCTAATAAAAATTGTCTTGCTCTAGTCATACTCCATATAATCATAAGTGCTTCCTTTTCAATATTAGAGACCTTCAATTCAGCTGGTGTCAATGTTCTGAAAAGATACATCACCAGGTGTCCTTCCTGGAACAAAATTACCAATACAGACTGGCCACTCACATCTGTTTTGTGCTTAATGTAATGTCCTTAGGGTCAAAAATTTTGACCACGGGTTTTTTAGTTAGAGCTACTTTTAATTTAATGAAGGCTGTTTGGTGTGTACTAGTCCATTCAAACTCCTTATTCTTCTTTTGCAACTCAGAAAACACTTCATTTCTTTCAGAATGTTTTGACAAGAATTTGCTATAAAAATTGGCTAATCCAAGAAATGATTCCAATTCTTTTTTATTAGTTGGAGAAGATACATTTAATATTTTTTGTATTAATGTCAGGTCCAGTGAAGTACCGTTTTCTGAAATTTGGTAACCCAAGAATGTTAATTCTTTGCAATTAAATATACACTTATCTTCATTTATCGTCATTCCTGCCTTCCTCAACTTATCCATTACAAATTTAGTTTTTTGTTTCAGTTCTTCTTCAGTGGCCACACCTAAACATATATTGTCCTGATAAATTATCATATTTTCTACTCTCCCCACTAACAAATTTTCCATAGCTTTTTGAAAAATCAAGCTGGCTGTCTTAATTCCAAATGGTAAGCAGGACCATCTAAGTAAGCCTATGGGGGAGTTTATTGTTGTGATTTCCTTAAATTCATCATCTATTTGAATTTGGTGGTACGCATTTTTTAAATCAATTTTCGTAAAATATTTCATTCCTGCCAGAGAATGTAGTATGTTTTCTATGTTTGGAATAGGGTAGGAATCCAAACAAATCTTATGATTTACATCTACTTTGTAATCTCCACAAATTCTAAAATCACCATCAGGTTTTCTTAAAACCACAATAGGCAATGCCCATTTGCTGCCTCCAGGTTCTACATATTGAAGAATGCCTTCTTCCACCATTTTTCACAGCTTATCAACTACCATTGGCTTTATATGAATGGGAAGCCTATGGCTTTCAAAATATGATGGATTGATATTTCTTTTTAACTTAAGGCTCACTTTATAGTTTTTTAATGTCCCAGTTTTGGGACTTCCCATATTCATAGCATTACATATTAATATTTATCAAATCAGTTCCTACTAAACCGTGATTTTTATACTGTCTACAACCATAATACTCACTGTTTCAAATCTATTTTTTGTTTCAAAAATGCCTTGAAAAGACCCTAATATTTTTTATATATGTTCCATCAAACTGTCTTAATCATACTAAGCATTTCTTTTATTTTAGTGTTGATAATTGTTCCTAAAAATTCTTAAGAATAAGGGTCACTTCGCTTCCAGTGTCAATTTGCATTTCTAAGTTTGCACTGTTTAATTTAATATCCGTGAAGGTGTTCATTTTGTTTCTCCTTTCTACTGAAAAAACGTGTTTAACTTTTTACATTGTCATGTATTATTTCGACAGTTTTTACATTGGTATCTCGCCATCTACATACAACTTGAAAGTGATTTTTCTTTTTGCACTTATTACATGTCTGTCCCCATGCTGGACATTTCTCTCTCTTTGATTCATGTTTATAGTTGCAATATCTGCATTTTATCATTGTTCTTTTTATTGCACATGTGTCCATAAGCTCAGGTTGGTTTTCATTTGTATTAAATTTTTCAATTAACTCCTCTTGTTGTATGAAGTCAATACAAGCTTCTAAAATCATTTGGTTTGTCTGTAACCACTCTAAAATTTTTACTCTATGAGAGGTGTTGTACAGTCCTTCTACCAATCAGAGTTGAATTAATTCTTCCTCTGTGCTTATTCCTTGTTGTCCTAGTTCATGAAATTCACAATATCTGCTGGTATCTTTTAACCTTCTTAGATATTTCCTTATAGGCTCCCCAAATTCTTGTTTCAATGCTAAGAATTTGGTTGGTTCATTCTATGACCAATCTTTTCTTTCGTTGAATATTGCTCAATATTATTTCTTTGACTTCCTTAAATGTCAAGTTTTCAATTTCAGCTGGGTCAAGTCATTAATGAAATCTTACAAAATACTTAAATGACAGCAAAATCAATGTATTGGTGCACCCTACATAAAGTCCTAACTTAAACCTCATAGAAAATTTATGGGTATATTTGAAAAAGAAATAAAAGAAAAAAGTTTTCCAAATTTGGAGAAATTATAAGCTATTGCCAAGAAAGAATGGAACAAAATACCTATCAGATGCAATAATCAAGAATAAAAGTTACACAATTGATTATTGAGGCAAGAGGGTCAATAAATTTGGCTTTTTGTATTATTGTTTGGCATTAAAATAAATATTTTGTTGTGAGTATCACTGTACACTCTTTCAAATCCATTATTTCATAATTTGTGAAAAAATGCATGTGAAGTTTCCATGAAAATTTGAGGTATTACAGCTTTATTTATAATTATGGAAGTAGGGTGAACACAACTGTATATCTAGTTTTGGATAAGAAAAAATAAAACTGACTTCAACATTAAATGATCCAACAAGCATTGACATATCATAAAACCCACCAACAATCTCCAGTTTCTCTGAAACAAACTTCCCTTACTCCTCATCTCCAACAGTCTTCTATGTGATGTCATGATACACTATATACTGAAGGAATTTCAGTACGTAGTCGATCATGACTCTGCAATTTCCTATCTTTTGTAGCTCTTAATAAATTTTTATTTTTTTTATCTCTCCTAAGCTTTGTTCTGCCATCCATTTACTCAAGTAGGTTATGTGTTGTTTTTCTCTGTCTCTCTTGTCTTCAATCTGTCCTGTGAGTATTAAATTTTCCAAGCCCTCTTTTCTCATTATGTGCCCAGAAATTTCAACTATCTTTTCCTGATGTTAAGTATAAGTTTCCTTTGTTTCTGTTTTCTCTAAAACTTTGTTGTTGCTGACATGTTTGGTCCATGATATCCTCAGCATCCCTCTGTAGAACCACATTTCTATTGCTTCAAGTCTCTTTTTCATCTGAGCAGTAACCACTGGAAAGAGAAAAAAAGACAAGTCAGGAGAAGACATTTACTGTATTGACAGAAAGAATAGAATCTAAAAGATTTGAGGGTCATCCACAAGACCAAGAGAGTGGAACTGGGTAGAAAGTGTGGAGAACCCCAACAATATTTTGGATGCTAAGAGTATATGAACACGTTGATCATTGTGTGGATTAGTCCAGCTGTATGTCAAATTTGGATTATGATGGGGAGAGCTAATAGTTGTTTCAGATAATATTGTTTGAAAGAAGTGACCACTTGCTGAAATTTACATTTTTCAATTGACAGGGAAAAGCTTACAAAAACTGTCAACAGAATCTCAAATAACAAGACTCTTTCAAAAAAGAACAATAACTAGAAAATTATTTAATGCAGATTTTGTGCAGGTCTTGGCAGAATATGAAAAATTTGATTCAGTGTAATTCAGTAGAGTTGTGTGGATGAATTAAGATTTCAATTGCATGGGAATATACCAGAGAGGTGTCTTCAAAGATCTGAAAATAAATAGATATTATTTTTTAAGAATATAATATTCTTGCCTACACTATAAGTATCACTAAAAATAGCTTGAGAACAGGTTCATCAGGCTCATATTTGGCCTATATAGAACTTTGAAGCCTTCAATATTGAATGGAATAACATTGACTTCTTTCCGCAAAAAGCTGTCTATAAGTTTACCTAAAAAGCAAGAGTTAAACATTTAAAGGAATCAAAAGGAAAGTTATCCTATATTTTGATTGATGATTTGTTGTTAAAACCATTAAAAGCGTTTTACCATAAGTATTTAAAAAAAGGACTAATTTTTTTGGATTGTGTTATTACTCAATTAACGATTTTTTTAGGCTATTATAAAGATCCTTACTAGGTGCCTTGTGTCAGACTACATTAAGCTTAGTAAATGTCTGAGAATATTTTGGAATTATTTTCATATAAAAAAGTATATATTAGAAAATAGAAACCTCAAATGTTTGCAAAATTTAAATTAATTTTTTTTTAAATAAGAATTTCTTGTATTATCATTTTTTAAATAAAAATTTTTTATATAAACAGAAATTCTTATTTTTCCCTCTGCCAGTTTCATCAAACATTTTGTTTAGAGACTTAAATTTCTATATATTACATTAAAGTATTTTGACAAAAATTATAATTAGTTTTTGTTTTCAAATGTGTTTTATTTTTGCAGGATTGTTGAGAGAGGCTCTTACTCTGAGAGAGATGCTGCTGCTGCTTTTCGCCAGATAATTCAGGGACTGAAGGTACTTTTGACTTTCTTTCATTCCTTATCATAAAACACTCTCAAAAAACATTTTTAATACCTGTTAACATCATAGGATCTATTATTTTTTCAGATGAAGGATCACTTTGTTTCAATACAAACATAAAATTCATCTGAAAAACAATAATATATTGGCATAAGACAATATTAAATTTTTTTTAATATGTAAACATGACACAAAATCGCATTAAATTTGTCTATTGATTAACTCCAGACACATTGCAATACATTTCTTTACACTAGATTTCATGTGGTGATGTCGAGGAGCACTTGATAAAATATTTTGTCAATATTACATCACTTGAAAATATCCTAGTTACTATTGGTTAATTTAAGGCATGTTTCATTTAGAAAGCATTTTGATAGCACTGTTAAAAGCAATTATTTCTTTTTTATTTTAAAATTGTTTTTAAATATCATGCATATCAAAGCATTTATAATTTAATAATTTTTAAAGGATTTTTTAACTATGAATTTTAATTTTTAAAAAATGAAAAATTCATGAAGTCACAAGTATAATATCTTTATGAATTTACTAAAATTTAATTTTATTTTTGTAGATGCTGTTCATGGGCTAAAATATTTTGTAGCAACGCTGTGTCACAGACTTCTGCTATTGCAATATGAATAGATACTTATTTGAATTATTTTAAATACTAACATTTTCTGCAGGATAACAATGCTTGCATTTCACTTGCACTGATTTAAGATTATGTGTTTATTAGAAGGATCAGTTCATTGTTGTTTCAGTACTAATATTAATTTGGCTCTAATAAAATAATACATTATGTATTAGTAAGTGTCTGAACATGTTTATATGAACAAGATCAATCCAGGACTCCATTTGAATGAAATATCCAGATTAGTGGGCTTGAATTGTTAACATTTGTAGAATTATGCTTCCTAATCAAACAAAGGTCTGTTTTTAGGTCGATAGTTAAAAAATATCCTGGGTGTTCTACAGGAGAACTGATCAAGATAATTGAGTATTGTCATTTTTTGACTGAGGAATAGTTTATATCAAGAAAAAAATTTATGGAAATATTTGTCTTTCAAATGATATTATCTTGAATAAAACATTTTAAAAGTAAATAAAATTAGAAAATAAAAGATTATGTATTTATTTTATCTTGTTCTTAACATTTATTTTTTACTTTTTTTAATGAAATAATAAAATGATGTGATGTCTGCATTTTATCTTATCTGTGAGAAAAAATCTATTATGTATGACAGCTTGTGGCTTTTAAAAAAATTTGGTATTTTATATTATTTTTCAAAAGTAAACTTTGAGTTAACTTTGCAAAAGAATCTATGTGAAGAGAAAAGTTATATATCTTGTCACTCAAACTTAACCACGATGGAATCAATGTTGCAATGTTTTTTTATTATATCATAATTGTTATATGCCATACCTATGAACACTATGGCTATGTACCAATCCTCATAAATATGTTGGACACTATTGTAAGTGGAGGTAATATGCTGTCTAAGTGGTCCACCATTTATCTACTTCATGCCATTGGCGAGTATTGTATTTTGTTGATGTTATAAAGATTACCATTTCATTTCCAACCTCCACTTTGGTTATTCCTCATTTAGTCACCCTTTCTAGGTTACAACAATAATTATTTGCTGCTAGAGTTCAATTCACTACTTATGCATCAATAATTACTGGGAAAATGTTTGCTCACATTACTCCTATGGAAAAAGTTTATTGATTTGCAACATGGAGAAAAATTCAATACATTGATATTTTGACAAATGCAGTAATGGAAAAAAAGCAAAACATTTTCAGATTTATGCCAGATTATTCTCACCCCCATTATATAAAATAAAAAATGCTTATAAAATATAAGCATTATTTCTTTTTTCTTTTTTCTTTATATTGGAAAAACTGAGTATTTGACTTTCTTTTCAGTACCTTCATGAAAACAATGTCATTCATAGAGATTTAAAGGTAAGACTTTTTTTATTCATTGAACATAACTTTTTCTTCAATTTCTGACTTATTTTATTCACACTAAAAATTTCAATATCATTTTCACATGCACTTATTTAATGTGAATCAAGATTTAAAAAATTAAAGAAAAGTCATTTTTGTGTTATATTTTGATAGAATTGATTTTAACATAAATTAAGAAATATGAATTGGTATGATTACATTTACATACATTTTGGTTAATTCAAGATGCAAGAATTAACTGATAAAGTCACATGCCTGTAGATTGAAGAATAGAATAAAAATAAAGCATATTTGTGTATGATTATAATTTGGCACTGATCAAAATGTTATAATCAAAAACAATAAATATTTCAAGATTGTAGACAATAGTGTAAATAATGAAATAAAAATGTATTTATTAATTGTAATATTGCTGGAAAGATGTACACTAGTCATTGACTGTAACAAATTACTGAAGAAATAAAGTGACTGATCATGGAAAATATAATTGTTTCTATTGAATGTGAAACCTATAAAGTAGAAGAATAAATATTAATTTTGTCAAAAAAAATAGATATAACAATATGTAAGAGGACTTGTACTGATTTTTGATCAAAAGATAGTGCAAAATTGCAAATGATATTTAATCTGATATAAAAGAGCAGTCATAATTTTTTTAAATATATGCTATTAGCAAAATAGATATTTTTTCCATAACATTTACTAACATGGATGTTACTGATCAAATTATTGAGCTTTGGCTTACTCTCATAAGATGTTGTTAAGTAATTTTCATTTTTGTACATCATCTATAGGATTTTCTTTTTCAAAGTAAGGGCAAATATAGAAAAAAGGAAAGAAAAATAGACTTAACTTCTGAGTAGTCACAATAATAAACTGACATAGAATAGGTAAAGAGATATCATATTTTGTTTACATTTTTCTTTAATAGCTTTTAAGTTTCTTTACACTTTTACTGCATGATTTGCTTTTCTTTTGGATATTTGTATTTTGAAGACTATTATTTTGAGGTTTATCTACACTTCTTTTCATATACTGTTAATTTTATTTATTTTCAATTTTCTATGTTTAGTAAAATTTCTTTTGTTTTATAATGGTTAGAAATTATTATTCCAGTATTTCCACAAAAAAAGAGATAACCAAAAAGAAAAGCTGAGATAGTATTTGAGGAAATGACATTTTATAAAAATTACTTGAACATTTATGGTTTTACAAGTCTAATATTTGAATAACTTAATATACAAAATAAAATAAAGTGTCAACTATAAGATTTGAATTTCATAATTTTTGGTTGCTTTCTTATAATATTTCTATATTATATTCTGATAATAGTTTTAATAATAAATTCTAATTTCTGATAACAAGAAAAACTTAAACAGTAAATAAATTATATATTTATTATTTTGGGAGGAAAAATATTTTGGATTGATATGTTAAGGGAGTTTTAAAGAATTGTTTGCATATCAAGTTGCTACTGTATAAATTAAAAATATCAGGTGTTTTTTTTTGGGGGGGGTGTAAGAAAATTACTTGAAATGATTCTAATATATAAATGATATGACACTGTTTTTTCCAATTATAATATTGGGCATAAGACTAGTCATACTTTATATTTTAAGATCTCTATTTATCTTTTTGTAAATAATTTTCATAATTTATTTGGGATAATATTCTTAGTTCTTGATAGCATTTTTTGTGTTAAAAATTTTATAATAATACCTAAAAGAAAAAATACTAAAACTAATATTAGTTAGAAGAAATTTCAATTTTGGGGAATCAATTGTAATGACAAATGCATTACCCTAACTACTCATCATATGTAGCAGTTAAAAATTAATTTTTAAGTACAGTAACACACTTTAGTTTTGCATAGCAGTGACAGCAGAAACAGTGAATTAAAGAAAAAATTTTTCAATGCCTTTAATGGAACTACATTTATATCCCATAATGTTATGGGAATTCAAACAAGGTAATAAGACTATGTAGTGTTTACGGTCAAATGTTCTAATAAAAGAACAAGGATTAAGGAGGCAGAAGGTTTTGAAGATTAAAGTTGACCGGGAAGTAAGAAGCTGAAAGAAAGCTCCACAAGTAAGAAGTGCGAGAGAAGAAACTTTTAGCATAGAACTTACAGTTACATCTAGCAATTTCAACTGAAAAATGATGACATATAGCTGCCAATCAAGTACTGCACTTAAGTTTGTAAAGTCATAGTACCAAAGAGGAAAGCGATATTTATGCTGTTTCCTACAGAAATGTGGCACATGGCCGAAAAGGGGATTGGGAAAAGGACGGCCTTCTTCTGTCTTAATTATAACTTAGCTAGCCACAAACACTGACCCAATCATACAAACAATATTCCTTATACCAAAACAACACATTCATACGTACCTTTCTTACTACAACCACCATAATACCTCTTTGTCTCTATGAAAATACTAACTAGTCCCTATATTTACAATTCATTGTCTGTGGGGGGAGGGGAATAAAACGACAATTCTAAAAACTAGCCCCAATGAGTATTTACAATATGAATACAAAAACTATTTACAAGAAACTAAAGAAAATAAGATTAGTAATAAAAACCCCCACAATCACTAAATGTGGCAGAAACATCGGTTCACTGGGCGAAATCAATGCGGGACTATAATAGTATAAAACATTTATTCATCCTAAGCACTCACACTGACATGCACTCATTCAGACACAACAACAAATACGAAATATCACTCACGCAAAACGAAAGGCGCCCCTCATCCACCAGTGAACCGACATCACTGACCACCTAACGAGGGAGGGGATGGGAAATTAAACTTAAAGAAAAAGAGGGACAGAAATAAAAGGGGCTAATGAGCATACATATCCTAGCTAAGTTAACTGAAAAAGGAAACTAAAGCATCAAAAAACGAAACCTAAGCTAGCCTAGTTTCGGGATGGGTTGCACAAGTTCAACCCAGGAAGAGCAATATCCTGATGCCTAACAGGCATCAATGTGCCACTCAAAGTCAGCCCCTTTCACACAACACAAACGCACAAGATTCACCCACCTTTTGCTGAATTCTGATGAAGTGAGCCGCCGCCTTTCCGTCCTAATCTTGACTTTAAGCTGATGCTTACAGTACAAGATCAGTTGGGAAGAGGTGAACTTCTCACCTCCGTGGAATCCCTTCTGACTTGTCGCCCAAATCACGACTCTCATAATGCCTAGCAAGCAGTGGAACACACAGTTCAGCCTTCGTCAGCAACGTTGCCACATTGCTACAACAGAAGCGGCCTCAAGGACAAAGAACTTTCCCTGCAGCATGTGGACCATGAGGCCTTCAACAAACTTGCACAACGGCACTACCTGGCTGCAATGAAAGAAGGCGTGACACAAGGTCTCGACCGCCCCACCACAGCATCGGCAGTTTGAAGATTTCTCCAAGCCAGATGAGCAGAGTCTCTTGGCGACCCAGAGGGCCCCACAAATCACCAGCCAGGTGAGTGATGCCTCATCGTTATTGAGGCATTTCAACCCGGGCCCACAGGCCATATTGAGCAAGCTCCCCCCACCCCGCTTCGTCAGACCAAGATCATCAATCAGCTCATCATGCATGGCCCTCCTGACTAGAACTTGATATAATGCCCTACGAGACAACACATGGACGTTGGAGAGGCCCGTAAGAGGTACTTCAGAGCAATACGACATTCACGATAGAAGGAGCATTCAGCTCGGGGTAAACGGCGGGCCTTCTCCTCACATGAATGCACACTTCTCAGGGATGTGAAGTTCTTACGGGTGTCTTCCTTCCAGTTCGCGACACATTTGATCTAGAAAGCCAATGCGAAGCATATATTGACGAATCTCAATGCTTGGCATGCCCAGAGCGCCTTCAGATGGATGAAGGCAACAGATCTCCCGAGTGACTCTGGCAGCCTTGCCTCCCCACAAGAAGGAGAACAAGAGCTTCACAAATGCCAGTAAAGTGTCATACGGAAGTGGAAGCACAGAGAGTCGGTAAAGGAGAATTGGGTAGATGTGTGAAACATACTTCCGCCCTCCCCTTTAAGGAAAGATTCCTCCGAGACCACAAATTAATTGCGATCTCGGCCTTCCCTCGCACATCCGACCAATTCATTTCCAACTGGAGATCAGGACCGAACCAGACGCTGAGAATCTTGACTGGCCTATCCGTCCAGTGGAAAGGTCCAGGAAGAGAAACTCCCTTCCACGCACCCAACCGCAAGCCAACAGACTTATCACGGTTGATCTTGGCCCCTGTCACCATCTCATAACAACTGATTTCTTTGCTGACTTCGTCAATATTGGCTCTGCTCGACACAAGAGCCAAAACGTTGTCAGCATAGGCGGAATACCTGGCCGATGTGGTAGCACTGGGCAGGGCAATTCCACGTAGGACCGGATTTGCCTTTAACTTGCCAAGGAAAGGTTCCAATGCAAGAACGTAAAGCAAAGGTGAAAGCGGACAACCTTGACGAATGGAGCGAGACAATATGAAAGGCTCCGATTGTACCCCATTCACCTCTACCAGTGCACCGGGAGTCGCACACAGAAGTCAGATCCAGGTGCGAAAGTATGGCCCGAAACCATCCGCCGAAAGGCCTTGGACTGATCTAAATTGATCAGCGTGGCTTCACTGTCGACTTGCTCGATGATCGGGCGTACCATATGAAGGTGGTCCTGAATAGTCCTACCCTTCACAGCACAAGTCTGTTCCGAGCCAGTCAGACTAGACAGGACAACCTGCAAACGGTTAGCCAAGATCTTAGCCAAAATCTTTAACTCTGTGTTTAACATAGTTAAAGGGCGAAAGTTACCTAACCCATCCCACCGTTTTTGTCCTTGCGTAACAACTTGATCATGCCCCTGATGAAGCGTTGGGATATAGACCCCTGCTTCATCCAGTTACTGAAAATCAGTGCCAGCAGGGGAACAAAAACGGGCGACTGCCTCAAGTACACTTCGTGCGGAAGACCATCTAGTCCTGGAAATTTGTCCAGGCCAACCTGTTTCAACGCTTCCCAGATTTCCGACTCTGTAATGGGACCCTCGCACCTAGCCGCTTCAGCAGGGAAAGTCAGCTAAATAGGCATCAAACTGAGCAGGGTTCAGACTGGGCTCCCTGGTGAAAAGCTCCTGAAAGTAGTCACAAAAAGCCTCACATATGCCCTCGTTTGTTGTCACAGTCCGCTTATCCGGCAACGTGACGCATGCGATATGTCACTGTGTGCATTCCGAGCTTCCTCTGATCGCAATTCAGCGGCCATATTTGTTGCCTCAGAGGACATTCTTTTTAACCTAGCCCTAACTACGAGAGCTTGATTCTTCTTGATAAGCAAGGAGGGCAATTCCGCCTTAGCTAAAGCTATGTCCCCACTATCACGGGATTTGACCGCCTGATCAACTTTCTGCTCTAAAGCCATTTCCGCCGCTAATCTATCTAGATTGAGCCGACGACTATAATCAGCAGTAAACGTTCTGATTTTGGATTTTAAATTATCCCACCAGGCATTTCCCACAACCGCCCCAGTCAGTTCCCTCTGTATCATTAGTAGCAGCTGGTTCCAGAAATCTTGCTCACCAAATAATGATGAGTTTAATTTCCAGTAGCCAACCATCCTAAACTTAGGCTTATCTAAGTTTACACGGACCCGGGAGTGGGGCTGTTTGTGCCTTTTCCTGTTTTTGGTGTGGAACGAGGTTCTGCTGCCTGGGTCTTCCCTTTAGCCCTACCAACGACCTTCCATTCCCCCTCTCCCTTCTCCCTAACCGCACTAGCAGCGGGCAAAGGCTTTTTCGGGGAATGGGGGCTGAGATTTGGACCCAACCGGGGGATTTTCCACACCGGTCCTGGCCGCTGGCATGCCCACTACAGGCAGGACAGATGGAACAGACTCGACCAAATGGGTGTTTGGTTGGGCGGGGGCCAGAACATCAGAGGCCTTCTTCTCTGTGCAGGAAGAGGACAGGTGACCAATCTGTCCACACTTCCAGCATGCCGGTTTTTGCCCAGTTACAATAATTGGCATCTTCTGGCCCTCTACATCCAGACAGTTGGGGATAGAGCTGAAGGCCTTTCTATTAATCATTAACTCGAAGCTCCACCTTCCGGTCAGATCGTCTGAGGAAGCACTGAGTATCTCTCCAAACTGGCACAGATAAGCAGCTAGATGCTCCCCGACAATCTGAGGAGGAACCTCATATACTGAGATTTGGTCCTCTGCCTGCCTTCGTACTTGGTCCACAGTATGAGTTCTTTTGTGATTAGATCACGTGTAGATGCTGCCTCACAATTGGCAGGCATGGGTAACAGTACATCCCACATAAAGAGGCCTTTCCCTTTAATGACCCTCTGAGCTTTAATGCCCAGAGAAGTCAAAGCTTTGATCACAGTGTCTTTTGTGGAGCGACAAATCTTGTCCACCACAAAGACTGACACAATTCGTTTTTCAACTTTCTTAAGTTCATGGGATTGGACAAGAGCCCATCTGCTGTCACCAGATGTGCGTAGCTCTTGGCTTTTTCCAGGAACTCCGTCATCTTGATCTTACACTTGGGCGGGGACTTCCAGCAAGAGGGCGTCTCTCTGGCCGCTATGTTTCCATTATTATTTTGGGATGTCTGCCTAGATGGTACTTGGCTACTTTCGGCCACCATACTGTTGTCATGTTGGCTGGTTTTATTGTCAGCATTTTGGCAGCTTTCGACCACCATATTCTGGTCTGGAACACTGGATTCAATAACCGTATTTTGGCCATTTGAGACCATCATACTTTTTTCTGGACTCTCGATTTTGTCTTCTAAATTTTCAACATTAGAAGACACCATACTTTTTTCGTCAACTTTTTGGCTTTCTTGAGAATCCATTTCTAAATCCTTATCCAGTGAGTCTTTTTTCTTTTATTCAGAACCAAACAGGTTTTTTTTTTTTCAGTTTTTTTGGCACCCATTTTCTAAAACGTTTTTTTTTCTTTCATATAAAACAGAAAAACAACAAATAAAAGTATAATTTAAACGAAAGATAAATACGAATAAATCACAATAACAAAAAGAAATTTAACGAAACAGAACAATAAACAGTTAAACACGCAAAAATAAGTTACAGAAACACGTACGCAAAGAGGACAAAATACGTAAAAAATAAAACCAGTTAACAATTACAAATTACAAAATGCGAGTACGCGAAGAACAAAATATAATTTAAGACAGAAAATAAACGAAAAGTATCTTTTTTTACAATAATACAACAGACAATACGAAACAAAAAATGCCAAATGAGTTAACAAAAACAATATGGCTGCCACTAGAAAATTCTAGTCAGCCCAAACACGAACAAAACATATAAATTAAAATAAAGAAGAACTAACAAATAGAAAAATAAATGCGAAAAGTTACAATAAACACAGAAAAGACTTAAATAAAGGAACACAGAATATATAACAGTTAATTACAACAAAGAACAACAAAGAACAATGAAAACACGTAGAAATAAAATGTAAACAAAGAAAAACGAAGTCTGACGAGGGGCAAAATAAACAATGAAAAAATAAAGTTTGGCATGGAGAAAAAATTAAAAGGAAAATTAAAACTCAAAAATAAGTATTAATGAAAATGAAAATTAATAATAAATAAACAACAAGGGATAAAGTATAATAAAAAAAGAGGGGAGGGAAAAGAAAGAAAAAATCAAACTTTTGGGAAAAAAGTCAATAAACGGAAAATAAATTGAAAATTAAAATGAACTTAACATGAACAAAGGTTGAAATCAAAAACAGTTTATGTTGATACAACTGGAGAAAGTAATTCCTGTGGGCTATAGAAGCTTAATAGGCAGGCAGGATTGTTGTTTCACCTGGTATATCTGTGAAGGCACAAAAGTATCGATGACAGCATTTAATAATATATAAAAATAATTAGTTGAGGTCATTTACTCCATTAATTAACTGTGAACTGAATTATATTATCAAATATATGAAAGTGGAACTCTCCTTAAAAATGTAAACTTGCTCATTATTATTATTCATTTGTTAGTTTCAGATAAGGCAAGTTAAATATTGTATATGTAAAATAAACTATTCTTAAATTATTTTCTTGCAGCCTGAAAACTTACTCTATTTAACAAAAGATGAAGAGTCCATTCTTAAAATTGGTAAATTTATTTTTTTCACTTGAAAAGATTTTGATTTTTTTTTTTTTAATTGTAATGCTTTCTGAACAAATCCAGATACATTTGCAGCCATATTTTCTTGAAGTGATAATTACCTACAAGTATGGTTTTTATAGTTACTGTTATTAATACTTTTTAGTTCCAATAATAAATGTTTAAGTAAGCTGACAGCAATAATTTATTACTTCTACAATATTAGAAATAATTGATATAGTTGTATGTTGATTTAGATTTGATTTCATTTTCATTTCAGTACTCTATTTTCTTATTTTTTAAATTTTATCTTCATTAATAAAATCTGAACCCAAAATGTTCTTGCATACATGATTCACTTTGATCCCCTTCATTTTCTTTCAATATTTTCTCAGTAGTTGTTAAATGTAAAATAAAATGTGATGTGTTAAATATACTAGTTGTGCCCATGGGAATTACACAGAGGTTTTATAACACTGATTTTTAGATTAAATTATGAACATAAGTACTGTTTACTCACCATCAAGGTTGTAATCAGAAATAAATTACTCATGTATGCTTCTTTGCAATTTTAATTACTCACGTGAAAATACTTTTGACAGGGAGTTCTTAAACACCAGGTGGAGGAGAGGGGGTGTCTGAAAGGTAGATTTACTTATCCCGAAATATTTACAACAGCTTACACTTTAAAATATCCATTTTTGACATATATTCAATGAAAATATGCTCATTTTATACTATACAGGTAAATGTTCTAATAAAGTCTGTGGGAATTGCTAATAATTTTCAATTAGTCATGGACATGTATGTACATATAAATTATTTTTTCAATACTATATTTTCATCAAATACAGGGGAAACATTTCCAACTACAACAGTGCATCTTCATTTGTGTCCTTTAGTGCAAAGATAAATGTCACACCTGGTATAGGTATATTTAGTTTCAGAATGCAAGGGTAAACTTATCATTATATTATCAATCTTCATCCTGAAACAGAACAAAGGCAATATGGCACTCACTAGTGAATTAAATTTGAATATTAACCAACTAAATTTTTAAATGCATCGATTATAAATTCAATTGGATGAAAACTAAAATAAAATATGTGATGACAATATAAAAAAAAAATCAATTAAATTTAAATATCAAATCAAGTAAAAACTTTAAAAAATAATTCTTTATAAAAAGTTTAATGTCAGTTTCAGTTTTCATCAGAAATGGAATTGATATGGTTTAATTAAACTTTAATTAAAATAAGGGGCAAGATAAATTGTTCAGCAAGGGTTTCAGATGCTTAGACAGAGAATATTAGGTGTCTTTAAGACCTAGATTTATACAGAGGGTCACTTATTCGATATATTGCATGGCTAGCATTCCTGAGTAACCCTTTAAGATCTGACTTTATACAAAAAAAATCTCAAAAAAGGGCTTTTTACTAGGTACATTCGGAAAGGTAAACAAACTATTTATTTGCAAAATAACCCAAAATCAGGTTAATTTGTGTACATAAAAAGCATAAATCAATGAATTGTCTATTTCTGTCAAGTTCTTCAGAAGTTTAGGGTCCTGCTCTTTTTGCAATAGAAATTCATAGTAAATCAATCCCTTGGGAAGTACCCATTTCTATAATCAGTTTCTAATACTAGTACAGTTATGTATTTGATATGTTTCATAGATGTTCCTAATATCTCATAAGACTCAACTTTACATGAAGAAACCCTTAAGAAGTGTGTTTTTGAAAGATTGTGCCAAAAATGTACACAAACAACATGGATTGCATGCAATAGATGGATTTTCTTTAAAACGAAACCTAAAAAACGTACTTTAAATAATTGAACTTAAACTTTGAAATTAGATTTTGGTTCTATTTGAAAGATAATGGCCTAAAGCTTAACAAAATTAAAAGAAAAATTAATTTCCATATATAAATAAACTTTTAAGGCATTTTTAAAAACTGGTACATTTTTTGTAAACTTATCAACACATTGAGCTGCCATTGTATATGAAAAATGTAAACAACAAATTTAAAATTCTCTTTAAAATCCAATATCTGACCTAAAAATGGGTTTTGAAATCTATTAATAAATTTAAGACTTAACTGGATCTTAAAACAGAATGGTAATAACATTATATTTATACACAGTAGCCTGTGAAGTCAAATGACAAAATAGAAATACTGTAAAAAAAAAACGTAATAAAATAATAAAACCTAAAGAAATACAGAAGACCAGCAGTGCAATAATCAAGAATTTGTTATTTATGTTTAAAAATATATTCTCTTTAACCAATAATTTAAAAATATAATTTTTTTTTATTCTATGCTCTTTACTTTTATTAAACATAGTATAATGAATACATTCGAGGGTATTAAGACACTACCAAAACAAAAATATAGCATAAAGGTATCCCCAAAGAAAAGTGATAACTAAGGTTTAAAATGCATTTTTAAAAATGAAAGTCTTTAAAGCTTTTATTTTAGCTTTAATTTCAAGCTAATAATTAATTTCAGTATTTCAATAATCAAAATATTTTGCTGTATTTCAGACCGAATTTAAATTAATTGGAATTATTTTTGTTTAAATTACTAAAACTGGCTGAAATCAGCCAGATAAGCAACTCAGTCAAGACAATGTAATTCTCTTTATTAAAAATTCTTTCAAAAATAAAATATACTTTTCTGAAACTTTGAGTAAGATTACCTAATTTAAGGTTTAATTAATCTAATTTAAAGCAAATATTACTTACTTTTAGTTTAAAATATTACAGTGTGTAAATAAAAAATTATTTTCATTGTGTGTGTAAATAAAATGTTATTTTCATTCTGTTTTAAGTAAAAGGTTGTTGTGATCCATCTACCCAGGTTTTTGTTATCTGAGTGCCAGGATTCCAAACATTTAATAACAACACATCTTTTAAATGAAACATAAAAAAAGGTTATTCTCTGAAGCAAAAGTAGAAGCAGAACATCAGTTGAAATAACTTTTATGTATTCTTTTCAGAAATATACAATTACAATAAAATGTTCAATTTTCCTTGCAGTGAAGTTTGCATTATCAAGTAATTAAGTGTTCTTAGAGTGGGGTGAAATGTGTGGACAGGCTTACTTTATGATGGTTAGCCTAATGTGTTTGTAAGTTTGTAATTAGTTGGCAACTGCTGGCTCATCTCTTCCATTGAGTGTGTGTGCATGTGTACACGTGTAGATCAAATAGGCCTCCAACATTTAAAATGTGTTTTTCGTTTCGTTTTCTTTTGTTTTTGTTTTTTTAGAATGTCCATATACAAAGGTAGATTATACCAAATCTAGGAATTAAAGAATTAAATAAAATAAATTAATAGGGCTTCATAATTACATAATTAAAACCCTAAAAAATGGCATTTACTTGTTACACCCTTTTTTATAATTTTAACAACTGCATACATTTTAATTAATAAATTCACATAGATTACTTGCTCTTGGAAGTTGTCACCAACATTTTACTTATATAGACCAACACAATAATATTATAAATAATTAATGAAATTGAACATATTAAAATATTACAAAGGATTTTAGTTGAAATTTCAATGAATTTAGAATGCATGAACAACAATAATAGCTTTGATATTTTTATTATTTCTCACTTTTTCCTCATTTTTCCTTCATTAAATGACATTTAATTGAGTTATAAAGTTATAATATACATGTCTAAAATAACGCAAACTTCATTTGAATATATCCATTGGTAAAGAAATATGATTTTTATTTAGAGAGAGACTTATTATCAAACTATGTAAACATGTTAGCATAGAAAATATAAGATAAAAAGACAAAAGTACTCATAAAAAGATTTTGTGTTAAACCATTCAATAATTTAAAACTGATTACATTGTCTTTTCTTTCTTACCAGGAATCTCTACAATAGGTTTTGTGAATTTAAAATCAGATATGCAAATTTACTTTATTTTATTAAAGCAAATAAATTTATGCAAATGTATGACAAGTAATAAATGGTAAAGTTAAATATCAATTGTTAACTACATTTAATATACAAACATAAGTTCCCTAAATTTGATCTTATTGAAAAACTTGATATCTGCATAAATGTAGAAGTATTGCTGTTCAAATCAGTATTAATCAGAAAATGTTATTAAAAAATACATGCCAACATTTTTTGCCATATTAATTATCATTTCAAATTTACTTATTTAAAAATATAAAAAATTTCGGAAATTTTCTTTTCTTTCAGAAAATAAAACCTTCTACAACAGTATTTTCACTACTGCACGAATTAATAACGAAAAAGAAAGAAAAACAAAAGAAAAAATATTTATTTCTAACCAGCTAAATAAGGGTTCTTGCAAAAATTTGTCCCTTTTTGCTGAGAATAGGACAACCTATTCTCTGAGTAACACAATGTAAAAAAACGTAGCAGAAAATAAACTTAAAAATTACAATGCACAAAAAAAAAAAGAATTGAGCCCACCTGCTATGTCAATGATGACAATAAAAAAAAGGGTGGAAGAGCTTTAGCTCTTCCGTACGCTTTCAGTCCTTTTAAGGTTCAAAAGTTTTTATCTTTTTTCTTTTCTTCTGGTATAAACAAAGTTCTCTTCCTGGTGACTTTCTTTTCTGGGGTTTCTACAAGAGGACTTCTCAAAACTTTCTCTGAAGAGGAAACTTGCCCTCAGCAACTTTGTTACCCAAGTATCCTTACTTATGGTCAAACACTGCCTGCCTTTTTCAGCAGGAAGAGAGAAAAACAAACCTCTTCTCTCTAAGCTGTCTCTTTTCCAACTGCTCCTAAGGTCCGATCCCAGTCCTCCCTTGCCCTTCAAAGGGGGGCGGTTCACCTTTGAACTGTCCAATCACAGTCCATTAAAAAAAGTATCAGCAGGTTCTTAGGGCTAGTAACACAGTGAGTGTCTTTTCTTCTTCCTTGACCTAAAAATTTTCAAAAAAATAATACATTTACAGTACACTTTTATTTCACTAAAGATGTAATAAATGACAATGCAATATATAAAAGTACAAAAGCAAAAGAAAATTTTTAGTACATTTTTCTATTTTGATTGAAATCATAAAATGACCAATTCTGTATAAATCTTTCTTCAAATGAAGGAAAATAAAAGTAAATTATTATCTATAATTAATAATATATCAAAGTATATAATTTACTGATCTTGCTGCTGTACTTTTTGAGTATTATTTTAAAAATTTTTTTGCTCTATTCCAGAAAATAAGTGGCATATTATTGCAATATGTTTTTATTGACTTTTATTGACTTTTTACTTGAAATCGCACTATTTTCACTCTGGAGGATTTAAAATAAAATTTTAAAATTATTCTTAGAAACACAACACCCAATCTCTTTAAGAAAATGATCTTTCCCTTCTGAGCAATATTTCTTTCAATCTTTATCAAACATGCTTGATATTATTATCTAGACTTGACCGCTAAAATTCTGATGTTCAGTAAATGTTATACTCTGCTGCAAATTAAATCTCTTTCTGATTCACTCTACATATCGATCGGATATGAGTGTTAACAAAGCAAAACCCAAAATAAAAATGTCATCTTCAATGTAGGAGTTCTGAGCATCACACCCAGTTCACAAAACATATCCTCACAAAAATCTAAAATACAATAGACAATCACAAATATTGCCACCAGATTTGCTTATTTGTGTTAGTATTCATTGTCATCACCATGACCTTTGGTCAATCTACTGTAACAGCAACCTGCTGACAAATAAGCTGTCAACAATGTCAATCCAATCTAACAGTAACCAGATTCCTGAGTTAACCCAACACTTTACATACAGACTGAGGCCAACAGGCCAGCTGTTGGCACCAGACCTCTCTTGAGGTTACCACACCTCTCTCAAGGTCACTACCTTGGTGACTTCACTAAACACTCCAGGCCTCTCTTGTAGGCACCACTGTGATTCTGTTTTTGGTTTATCTCCCATTTGACCAGAATCCAATGGAGACATTCTGCTCAATCAAGCTTCACTATCAACTCCAGGTTCTTGTTATTGCCACTGTGACCCTGTTTTCAGTTGATCTCCCATTCAATCAGAATCTAACAGAGATTCCACTCAATCAAGCTTCACTATCTGCTCCAAGCCTCTCTCGTTGTCATCACTATGACCTTGGTTACCATAAATCAACCCCACAAATGACACCCCACTTGCACCACCATGGATTTGCAACTTCAAAAACCACTCCAGGCCTCTCTCATCACTACCACCATGACCTCAGCCACCAACCCACTACCCATACCTAGCGTTACCAACATACATCCTTAAGCCTAATTGCTTCCCCTACCAATACATTTATATAAATAAAAGATTTTGTCCCACAAATACTGCAAATGTTTGCATCAGCTTAATAGAAAAATGTACATTTATGTTTTGTTTTGCAGCTGACTTTGGTCTGTCAAAAATGATCACACCAAATATAATGAAGATGTCAATTTGTGGAACTCCAAGTTACAGTGGTTGGTTTGATTTTCATTTGAATAGTTCATTTTATTTTGAAAATAGTTTAATATTAGAGATATCAATGTATTTTTTTTTCATCAACATGCACCTTTTCTCTGGAGTAGCCATACTAAATACATTATAAATATGTAATATTTCACTCATGTATTAAATATTATAAAACCAGCAAGATTTGCCTCTATTTAAAAACTAAAAAATTGGCATAGCTATATAGAAATCTTATCTTAAGCATTCTTTGTTCTATGTAAAACCAAAAATTATTTCATTAACTGCATCAGTTTCCAGTGTATGCTGAGACAAAATTCAGTTATGTTTATTAATTACAGAAGCCACAAGTGAATGTATACTATTGCTCATTTACTTAGTTACATTTAATCACATCATTGAATAAATATGGACATAAATGTCAACTTATGTCATGATGACTGGAGAACATACTTTTCAGTCTTTGTGGGAATACAAAGATGTCAATTTTTCTTCTGTGTGACGTATCCCCTCAGGACATGGACGATTGTGGCTCTCCACAACTTCCAGTGCTTTGTAGCTCTTAGTAAGTTTTGTCTTTTTGCTATATATCCTAATTTTTGCTCTGCTAATCATTTATACAACCTTGTTAGGTAGGTTATTCTCTGCTTTCCTTCTCCAAGACTTCTTTTATCCTTATGTGCCCTAAGAATTTCAACTGTTTCTCCCTGTATAAGTGTCCATTGTGTTTCCATTTTCCCTAAAACTTCCTCATTGTTTACATGTTCAGTCCATAGTATTCTCAGCATCCTTCTATTGTCTGAAGTTTCTTCATCTGTCAGGAGAATGCCCATTCATTGCCATATAGGAGAACTGATATGACATAACAGTTTAGTACTCTTCTTTGTTTCTAATGAGATTTTCTTGTTATCTTAATACTTTGATTAATTTTTGGAAGGCATCTTTTGCTATACCAATACACCTTTGGATTTCAGGGTCACATTTTCTATCCTCTGTTAAAACACTCTATAGATACTTAAATTTTTGTACTTGCTTGATTTTGGTATCTCTAATTCATAGTTTGCATTTTGGGTTGTTTCTTTTACTGGCAACCATACATTCTGTTATCTTACATTTGATGTTTAGTCCTTTCTTCTCACTTTCTTATACTACCATCTGTAAGACTTCTTGTAGTTCCCTTTCTATGTCAGCTATCAGCACTGTACATAACTTATGTTGTTAAGATTGTGGCCACCAGTAATGAATCCTGATAGGACTTCTAATTCACTCAGGATCACCTCACTGTAAATGTTGAATAAGTTCAGTGAGAAGACACAGCCTTGTATTATACCCCTTCCTATTTTTACTTATTCACTGAATTCATGTTCTCTTCATATGCAGACAGTTCGCTCCCAGTATAAATTTTGGAATATTCTAATATTCTTCACAAACAAATCAAGCCTACTTCAAATAGTTCATTGTGATGTACTTTATCAAACATTTTTGCATAATCTATAAAACATAGGTACACATCCTTTTGCATTTGTATTGCTAATTTTTTTTAAAATCACATTTAGATTGTGTAGAAAAATTCAGAGGAGCCAATTTATTATTTAGTTGAAGATTTATCAGGTGCTATTTACTTTCAAATTAAACTTCTGATTATCAAATTACAATCATATTACTTGTTTGATTATATAAATTTTATAGTCAAAATGACAACAAATATCAAATGGTTTCATTAAAATTGACTTTGATAATAATCAAAAATTAATTATTTTTCAGCACCTGAGCTTTTAGAAGGAAAGATGTATGATTATTCAGCAGATATGTGGAGCTCTGGGGTGATATTGTTTATTCTGTGAGTATCTATCATTCATTTCACTAATATAAAATTTTCATTATATTTTTGTTTTTAACCAAACTGTTACCTCCTGTTGAAAAGAGACAATCAACTGTAGTATATATGAACTTTTACTTAAGTGGTATCATTTGCAACCCGAGTAAAACAAAAAATTCTGATCAACTAAAAATTCCTCAAATTTTTTATTTAATTTTGAATTTATGTTCTTAAGACAGTAAAATGCTAGATTTTCACAATTTATTTACAATTCAAATAAACAATATACATACTGCTCATGCAGTAGTTGATGGGGTTAGGCAATGCTAAGAATGGGAGTTATTTTTCTTTTTGTCACCTAATTATTATTGATATTGTTGGAGCAGTAAAAAGCTTTGTCTTTACCCATGCGTGGAGAGATAGATCACGTGATGACTGGGTGGTCTCCCATTGGTCGATCCTGCCACAGGCCACCCATACAAAAAGCGTAGCACATGAAGAAGCTCTCTTTTTCAGCAGGCCTCACCGAGCGACACACATGTGGTATTTCCAGTCCAGACTCGATCTGTGACAACAGCCATGAGACCAGATCTCTGAGAAACCAGTTTTCTTCTGTTCTATCATTTGGGTAAGTCCGTCAGTCATTATCTCCATGTTAGGGAAGGACATACATACATTGTATATCGTTGTACTTGTTTGACGTAAAATAAAACCTGTTCTTTTTATAAGTGAGGTTTTTGGTTATCTTGTTTTGCTGATTATATTACATACCAGTGACTAGAAAATAATGCTAAAACCTTACATGAATGTTATTGGTGTTTACTATCCAGCTAATTATTAACTCTAATATGCAAAAATCAAATAAATATACTTTAGAATTATTAAATAAATGTTCTTGTTTCACTAAAAGGATGTACTAAATTATGGAGAACATAATCTTTGAGGAGAAGAGAATGTTTTAAACCATAGATATTTGTTTATCATAATTTTAATTTTCTGCTGTCTTTGTCCAAAATTTGTATTTACATTTTGTTTTCTGAAGCCATAGCAATGTTGAATACCAGTTTTGTAGATATGGACATCTATATTGAGATTTATCTAAATGTTTTCCCATATTAAACACTGGTTCCATTTTTATTTCTGATTGAATAGTCCATTTATTAACAGCTGAAGAATCAAAAGTCCTACACAGATTGTATATATTATTAAAGATCTTTCTTTATCTGACAAAAAGAAATTGTCCAATTATTTTTATAATAGTTTCCATACTGGAGTCCTTTTCTAAAACTTCAATACTGATTTTCAAAAGCACAGCTTTCCCACTCAACAAGTGAAGAGGCAAAGATCAGTCAGTTTGCTCCATATACATGTCTTTTTTTCACAGTTTATATAATGATTCTTTAAGCTTTAATGACCACTTGAAAGAGCACTTATTGAAATTATCATCCTTATTACCAGTACAACTGTATTCTGCTACAGGAAAGACACTACACTTTCATGAAATTAATGGCAGGAAGATGGATTCTAGTTCATGTGTCAAACATGCAACATTTAGTTTTATAAGACTGAATTTGTAAATCACAGTAGTATAAGTTCATCAGGCTGATTACAAAAAATATTTACTTTTGTAACAAGTCACAAAAATATAAGACATGATCAAATATTGGGGGAAGAGGAAAGTGTTGTTCTTCACTAACTTAGTATTAACTTAGCTAGTTGCATTTACTTACCTAACCATTCTTCATTGTTCTTTTCACTATAATAACATATATTCTGAAATCTTTCATGCAACAATTAACAGATGGTCACATTCTCTCTATGAAAAATGAACTAAACCAATATTTAATATTTCATGGTGGAGAGTAGGGGGATAAAAATCCCACCACTTATTCCCAACTACAGCAACTGTCAGCATTTGTTAATCCTGAAAATCATTCATATCCAACAAGGATGTGTTGAATTTCCAGTATCCAGCTATCATAAATTTAGTCTTATCTAAGTTTATCTAAGCATAAACTAACATAATCTATAGTTCAAATAAACTACACTGTGAAAACTTAGACAATCTAAGAGCCTTAAATCTACTTTCTTAACTAAAACTATCAATCTAGCTTGAATGCTTCATGAAAGCTAAGCCACCTCTAATTGGTCCAAGTCCATTGTACTGGTTTTGGGTACTGTAATGAAAAGTCTAGTTCAGCTTAACGTACCTTTATTGAATGTAACTGAAGAGTCTTGCCATTTTGGCTAAGAGACTGTTACTTATTTATACAAATCATAAGACAGGAGATAATTGGGTTTCATGACAATTCTCTGGTATCATCTTGGTGACAGCTGATCTGGGCTTTCAGGTGTTACAGAAACAGTTGGCCAGAAGCATTTTGTCTTCTTGGAATGGGACGCTCTGATTCTGAAAGCTGATTACCAGAGTCTGTAATAGTATGCTCTTGTTTTGAGGGAGCTATTCTGGTGTTGATCTCTGAATCATCACTATCAAGCCCTTATTCCTCAGGAGAATCCAATGGCATTGTGTTGTTGTTACTATCAAGAGAAAGAGATATTGCTCCAGGCGAGAGCTGCTCCTACTTCTGGTTTGATAACTTGTTGGCAGGGGCCAAACCTCTGCACATAGAGGGGGTTCACCTTGACCAGTTCCACCTTGCTCACAGGAGAATTATACTTGCTTTGTCAAACATGGTTTCTAAGTAAAACTGCACCTAGCTGTGAGAGCCAAAAAGGGAGGGAGATCCTGGCCAAACTTCACCTTGGAAATTTTAAAAACTTTTTGTGAGGTGTTGCATTAGTTCTTGTACACAATAGTGTTCTTATAGTGTACAGAGCCTTGGTTATTACGTCTTCCCAATGCCTAATTGGAATGTTTTGGTTTTCAAGTGCTAACTGTACAGTCTTCTATATTATGCCATTGTATCCCTCACACTGTCCATTACCTTGAGTGTTGTATGGGGTAGTCCAGCTTATGGCCACTATCTTTATCAATAGGAATTTTCTTAGTTGGTCGGACATAAAAGCGGTCTTGTGATTTGTATGAATATAAGCTGGCGCTGCAAATATTGAGAACAGTGACCAAAAACAGTGTATGACTATTGCTGCACTTACAGCTGGACAGGGAAAGGCAAAAGGGAATCGGGAGTACTCATCAACAATAATAGATATTTGTTTCAGGATTTAGATGGAAGAGGACACTTAAAGTTCACGCTCAGCCTCTCAAATGGCTGTGTAGTTTTTATTAGGGTTTCTGGTTTGGGTTTGTATAACCTTGGTTTTATTCAAACACAAATCTGACAACCGTTTGTTATTCATTTCATGTCCTCAACTGAAAAAGGCAAATTCCGGCTTCGAACCACATGTATCATTCTTGTGATGCATGGATGACAGTTTGTTATGAACTTTTTGTAGATCTTTGGTGTTCTTTATTGATCCATACACTATTGACAACATGTCTGCCATTGCATTTTCCTTTCACGACCAATAGAAAATGTCAAACAGAGAACAGGAAAGACCAAGCCTTCATCTTGCTATCTTCATTTTTTATTTTGCTTGATGTCTCAGGATTAAACATAAAAGAGATTGACTTTTGGTCTGTGATTAGCTTAAAGCAGTGACCAATTAAGAAATTTCACCATTTTTTAGTGCCTTGACATAAGCCTCCTTTTTGACAGATGAATGTCTGCACTCAGATTTTGACAATGTTCTGGAGAAGAATGCTACAGGGCACCCAGATTGCCTTAACACAGCAGCTATGACATGGTCAGAAGCAAAGGTCTCTAGGGGAATGTCAGGATTCGCCAAAGTGATTGCCGAGTTGGCAATATCTCTTTTAACCCCTCAAAAGCTTTAATAGCAGAAGAAGTTAAAGGAAATTTGGTAATTTTCATAAGTGGGTGTATTTTTTCAGAAAAGGTGGGTATCCATTGAGAATAATAAGCAAACATTCCCATTGTTCATCCCAAGGCATCAACAGTGTTGGGAATAGGTAGTTTTAGCAATGGTTTTAAGCATTCTGAGTTTGGCTTCATGTTTGCTTTGCCCACAATATGTCCAAGTAGTCTGATGGTTGTCATCTCATAAGAACTCTTGTTATGGTTTATTGTAAGATTATATTTCTTGACAGCTGTTAAAATACCATTTTAGGTTACAATTGTGCTTGGCACAGTCATGGCCACACACTGTAACTTTATCTATGTAGGCAAAGGTGCCTTGTAATTTTTCTTCAAGAATTATTTTATCGAGGACTCTCTGAAAACTGGAAACACCATTAGTGACTCCAAATGGAATCTGTCGGAACTGATAAAGTCATTCGCAGGCTTCAAAAGCCATATAAGGCTTATCTTTAGGGTCTATAGTTACTTGGTGGTTAGCACTCCTTAGGCCTAATGTACTAAATATTCTGTATTTGGCAACCTCGTTTATCATCTCGTCAATACAAGGTATAGAGTATCCATCCAGGAGGGTGTACTTATTTATTGTTTGGGAGTAGTCTATGACCATCCTTTTTTTACTATTATCAGAGGACATTATTAATACTTGTCCCTTCCATAGTGATCTGCTTTCTTGGATTATTCCCTCTCTTAACATTCTTGTTATTTCTGCTTGAATAAATGTTTTGTCTTCAAGAGAATATTTTTGAGATTTGGTGGTCACTGGTTTACAGTTTTTGGTTAAGCTTTCAAAAAGAGAGGAGTATTGTACATTTATATCGGCCAAGCCATAGATTTTCAATGCCGGTTTAGGGCCCCAAAAAAGGAGATTAATACTAGAATGCTGTTTGAGGAAATTGTGGCCCAGTATGACATCACAGCACAGACTTGGCATCACAAAAAAATTGGTGTTAGTGTAGTTAGTTTGATTCAACTCTAGGCCAGCCAAAATGTATCCTCTAACCTGTAAAGATAGTGAAACATTTACCATTGCCAATGACTATTACAATGTATGATTTTAGATCTATTTCTTTTTGCAATATCAGCACTAATAAAACTTTCTGAGCTTCCTGTGTTGACTAG